GGGTTGGGTGTCTCAACGACCACAATGCTAACTTATTTCAACTAACAACCTCAAATACATATTTGTTCGACCGAAGTTTGTGGGTAGCTTCCCTGAAAACCCTCACGAGACAACACTCGTCCATTAGGGTAAATCTAGTGGTTCAACGGCTTGTTGCATATGCTAAATGCAACCGGATGACCTACGAAAAAGGGCATTAGAAATATATTTACATCACAATGTTGTTGTATTACTAGAGACTAGCAATATTTAGGTTGGAGGGTGTAATTAGTGCTTAAAGTTAGCATTTTACTATGTCTTTTGGGGACTAATTTTACTTTGAGGGAGTTTAAATAATGAAATTTCAAGTCCTAAAGTGAACAAGAGCTCAATGACAACAAATATCACACATGGATGTAACACCAGTGGATAAAGGGGAAAAATTGGAATAGCTTGGCACAAAGCAAGAACGTTCAAACGTGGATCAATGTTTGAACATTCCCCTAAAGTGATTGAAGACCAGGCTACTGAGACATGATGTGTTGCAGTCAAAAAGGGAAAGTGTTGAGGTACTTGAGTACCATGTTCGAATGCCCACTCACGTTTAAACGTGCTCTGGAAACTTGAGAGGATTAGACTATTGAGACCTACTAGAGTGTTGCAGCAAAGACAGCAGAACCACAGAAGTACTTGAGTACAACGTTTGAACGCCACTCCATTTTCGGACGTTGTCATAAGTTATTGAGGATCAAGTTGCTGAGTGCAGGGCCAGAGTTGTTCAAGACTTATGATAGTAACTATCATAGAGACCACATGCCACTTGAGTAGGGGATTCAGACCCCATCTGGCGTTCGAATGCCCTTAAAGCAAAAACAGACACAATGTTCGAACGACAAATCACTTTTGAACATCCCACTGACTAGTTGTAGAGTTGTTGGCTTTTCACTTGGACTTAGGCGGCAAATACTATTCCTTCACCCCCTCCTTTTCCTTGCCTATAAATACCCCCATTTGTGGGAGCTTCATGGGGAGAATCCTTTTTTCTTGTAAAGTAGGGTAGAGAGCTAGTTCTTGTACATTTCTTGTTTATGTTTTCATTTTGCATTTGTATCAACCATAATGGAGGGTTAAACTCCCCCTTATAGTTGAAGTCTTTTATTTACTTGTGCTAAGTCTTTACATTCATGTTGTGACAATCATGATAGAGGCTTAGACTCCCCTTGTAATTGTACTTGCTTTTATTTACAAATATCAAGAGAGATAACTCATCTTTTGATTGCGGTGGAAACCCTCCAAAATTAACTAGCTTTCTTCTACTTTATTTCACTTCCATTGCTTGAGCTTCCTTCTTCCTTAGAGGAGTGAAACTCTTCCACTTTTCTAGAGCTTTACTAAAGCTGTGAAGGATGGAATGTGATTCACTTATTATTTGGTGAAGATCGGCTCCTCGTTTATTGTATTTTACTTTATAAGTTCTCTACTTGGAGGGATGAACATCAATCACTTTTCTAGCTTTATCCAAACCATGAAGAGTGAGTAGTTCCTCATTCACTCTTTAGTAAGAGGTGATGAATATGTAGAAATTATCTAGGAGTTATATTTGTGTAATCCATTTATGCTTTAATGCTTTATATTTCACTTGTTCATTGAATGGTTGAATGTATCTAGCAAAACTAAGGTACTTTGTCTAACCATGAGTTCTTTCTATGTCACGAATGACTCTTGCATGGAAAAACCTATTGGTTCAAGGTAAGTACCTAGGCGATATCTGCATGAAACGTTTCAATCTTCATTATTATCGTGCTTTATCTAAAGAATGGAACATTAATGCAATGGTTGGATGCCTTGTAGAAACACTTGCTTGTTTGTAGACAGGTTAAATATCGGCACAGGCAATTCTTGTCTACTTCTAGAAAGACATCATAATCATGTGCTTAATTCTCACACTCCATCTTTATCTTCCGATTAACTTGCTGTTGACACGAGAGTTAATTGAGTTATAAAACACAAGTATATTAAACCAGATGACTAACCACATGTTCTAATCCTCAAGCTAAAGGGTGACTAGTTTACATTTGAATTTATCTTTTATTTTGTCTAGAAAACTCTTGAAAAGAATCTTCTATTCTATGCAAGAAATTTCACCACTCTAAACTCTCAAAATTTCCAGTTACTTGGTCTCTATTATTGCTTATTTCAAAACACTAATCATAGTTCCCTGTGATTCGACTCCAAACTTAATCGGATTATTACTATAACTTGATCGCCTGCACTTGGGTGTACACATTTCGGATCAAGTCATTAATTTTAGTGCGTGTGTGTGATTAAGTTTAAGCATGTGTGTGTATGTGTGGGCTGTTTTATTTTAATTTTCAAAATAGACTTTGTAGGAGTCTAATTAAGGGTATTAAGCATAATTAATGGGCTGTTAAGGAAGGATTTTAAGTGGGTGTTCAACCAGGTGTGAGTAAAGTGTAAAAAATGAACATTTGAGATGCTCGGGATGCTTTTAGTGGACTAGGTTAAAACTGAGATTTGTGGGTGTGCAATGGAGGGTTTAAGGGTTCAATTAAGGGGCTGTTTTGCATGATTAAATGTGTGTGTGAGTTTAAGTGGGGCTATTTTAAAAGCAAAGTGTGATAGAGGTTGAAAATGGGTGCCAGTAATGTTGAAATCCTGATTTATAAACGTTATTATCACATATGTAAATTTCGATCCAATTGACCATAAATTTTGCATGTTGCATTCTTATTTGATGCTTGATGTGGTACTGTAAGTTTTGAATGCAAATGAATATAATATCTGGTGCGAAATGTATGAAATACTAGAAGTGTAATTTTTGGGATTCGAGGTTGAAATGTGTGAAAATGGGGGCCCCAGTCAATGTGTTTGACCTATTTAACCTTAATTGTAATTAATGTGAGTGATTTTGGAGATTTGGGGAGGAAATATGATCCTTAAATCTAATGTGCCAGTATGTGAGTGGACAGTGCGGTAACTAGGGCTACCGGGGCACTTTTGGTTGAATCATCTTGCATGCATTAGTACATGATTAATTATTAAATGTGATAAATATGTTGATATTGTAATTATAAATTTGTTAGATGGAACAGGTAGAACAATCGATGTTGAGACAGATATGGTAACACCGAATCGATCCACTAGTAGGTCCAAAAGCCCGTAGATCTATACACTTGAGGTGAGTATATATCTTTATATGTTTTGAAAATACTATTATAAGATGATAGTAAATGATAGAATTTAATAGCATTTTTTCAGGATTATGTGTTATGTGCTTATGTGATTGAATGATGTTTTGTATTGTATATTGTGTATTATGGAATATGACGCACTATCTGAGACCAAAGCATCGATGTCTGATCACTGGGCGTGCAGTGATGTGCTAGTACTGTGATGTTCCCGGGAGGTTCGGGAGAGTCGGATCCATGTGGAATCGACTACCCGATGAGGGGTGGTATGGATGTGTTGTGGCTTTATGAACTTTTTGCAATTGAATTGATACTATTGTTTAATACGTGTATTTATGTAGTATTTATTTACTTCTGTGTATTACTATCATTTATATTTCATATACAATATGTATACTCACTAAGTGCGTGGTTTAGCTTACACCCCTATAGTTTATCTTTTTCATGTACTATCGAGAGAGTTGCAGATCAGTCCATTGTCCAATCAGTTGAGTATTATCTCATGAAGTTGAATTCAATCCGCAGCAGTCCAACATAGTTGGTGTGTTATTACTCAGATTATTATATTTTGTTGGGTTGTATATTATATTGAGTGAGAGAGTATTATAGTAGGTTAATAATGTATAATTGTAAATAGACTCAACAAACATACTTTGTGATGTATGCTATGTGTGTGTGGGATTTTGTATATGTATATGGTTTGGAAAAAGAAATGGTACATGTGTTATATATAGTATAGGTTATGAGTCAAGTATTACCATTATGCTTAATAGCTAAGGTGATAGGCAGTGTTGTTGCAGCTGTGAGATTATTTAGTATTTGATTAATCCAGATTACATATGTAAACAGGTATATTAAAAATCTAGTCGCGTCTCATCCTTGGGAGAATGAGATGGGGTGTGACATGAGTGATGGTCGTAGGCGGCGGTGGTAACAATCGATGGTGGTTAATGATGATAGTGGTGGTGGCGGGGGGGGGGGGGGTGGCAATGGTGCTAGGGGTGGCACTGGTGTTGACTGTGATGGGACAATAAGAGGTTTTGTGGTGGTGATGGAGGTAGTGTTAGGTGATGGTGGTGGTGCCGGTAGAGTGATAGCGGCAGTGAGGTGTTTTGAAGAGAAGTGATTTTAAAGATGTATAAGTTATTTATTTTTTTGAATTTTTACTTACTTATTTTTATTGATACTTAATTTTTACTTACTTACTTAATTAAGAGGTAAAACTAATTTTGACTTATTTGGAAGTAATTAAAATAAGTTATTCTAAGTACTATTTTTTTAAAAGTATTTATGAGAAGTAATAAGTCCTATAAACACTTTTGAAAAGTCACATTAAATACACTCTTAGGGACCTATTTTCTTTTTTAAATTTAAGGAGTTAATATTAAACATCGTTCTAACTTTAAAATAAAATTAAAAATAATTTAAAGCAAAAAAAGTAAAAATTATTTTTTATGTGTTCAATCTTTATACTTTAGGGATAAAATTGTGTTATTCAAATTTATTTATCAAATCTTTTATCCTAAATAATGTGTTAAAATCCTATACATTGAATGTTTGATAGAATTAGTAAATCCCATTGATCCAACCATTTGAAATACAAAATTTGGTAAGTATAACATTGCTCATACTTTATTATTATTATTTTTATATATATATCAAATTTTTATCAAATCAAATTTACATGTATTTAAATATAAATTAATTTAAAAATTTTAATTAAATTTGGATAAACAAATTAAAATATTAATCCATTAAATACACTCTCGGATTAAAATTTGGTCCATTGAGGTACGTATAGTGGCCGGGAAGACGAGGAGGCTGAGTAGCGGCGACGAGAGACTGACGAGACTTGCGAAGACACAGAAAACTACTTCAAAGACTCGCCTAATCTAGATCACGTCACCATTGACTCTCACATGTCTGTATAAATGGCATTCGCCATTGAGCTTTTCTTATAGCTCCAGATCTTTATTTCTCTCCATACCTTCAGGTGATTTCTTGTCCTTGTATATTCTATATATCCATATAGGGTGACATGCAAATTCTTGGTTTCTATTATGTTTTCTTTTGATTTAGTCCTTGAATTGTCTCTGGTGTGTGTAGAATTTCTCTTTTAAAGATCCTAGATTGTATGTTGTTTAGACCAATGTGAAAAAAGATTAATGCTTTTCAGCTGTCTGTTCCTTTTTTGAAACGATGAATGTTATGTTATTTCATGAGAGTTCTTGTTTTGCACTTCTTTTTCGGTAATCATGGTTCGTGGATTGCTCTGTATTTAACAGAATTTTGTTCAACAACTGAGTATATGAGTGGGTGACTCTGAGCTTTGCTTGGAGAAAAATTCCTATTTTGATCTCTTGGCTCTGTAAATTTTCTTTTCTTGATGAGAATGGGATTATCATAGTTGAGAAGAAAAGGCAATGTGATGATGAGAACCCTCATTCTTTGAACCGTTTTCGTGGGTTATTTTGCTATCATTCGTTTGTCTATAATAGTTTACCATTGAATATTTGATTTTTTACATCCTATTTAATGGTGGAGTTTTCAAATCAATTACTTCCGTTTATGATATCAATTTTTCAATAGAGGGTCAGATTTTTTGCTTGAATTTTCATAAGTCAAGCTTTTTTTTTAATAATTCTCTTTCTTCAAATGTAGGATAATAAATCAGGGGCTAATGTTATATTTGAGGGCATTTCTTATGATCACCTATGCCTCTGGAAGACATTGTGGTTAGTTGTTTTTCCAGATTCTGTGCATGTAGTTAATATGATCCGCGTCTGAATTGATGGTTGTTCTCAATTTTCTAGGTGTAGCCTTTTTCTTATTGCCGAATTGTGTCGGGGATGTGACCTTTGGTCTTTACAAGAGTAGCTCTGTCCTGTCCAAAACAGGTGCCTTTTTCCATTGCTATAATTGTTATGTTTCTGTCCTTATTCTCCATGCTTGGTTAATGTTTAATTCATGATCATTTGGGTTGTATCATCAATTGTACTCTTAGCAGATGTTACGGAAAAATAGGAAAAAAAATTCCATGAGATCAAGTGGGATTCATTTATACTAAGTAGTCATTAGTCAATGACATACACACACATCCATACACATTGGCATGGCTTGTAGGATATGTTTTTGTAAATTTTGATGATACTTGCAAGCTAGATCTGTAAATAGGAGTAATGGAAGCTATAGTCTCCCAGCATATATCTTTGGTCATAGACTGTGAATCCATGCTCTTGCAATTACAGTTGCACTGATTATATAATTCTATACCCGCGCTATTAGAAATTATTGATTTCTTCTCTTCCTTCTGTAATTTTTCAGTTTGATATATGTGAAATCAATATGGCTGGAGCTGGAAAGAAACAAAATATCAAGAAGTTTAGAAACTCCTTGCATATAAAGAATTGTACAAAGAAATCGAACAAAGGGAAGCCCAAATTAAAACGCAAATTTTTTGGACATACTATCGGTTCAAACCTATCAAAGAACAAACCTATTGACCATGTAAGCAAAGGCATGAACAGTAACTCCTCAAGAAGAAATGTAATCAAAAAAGCAAGTCTGCATAAATCCAAGTCCCCCAAGAAGCAGTCTTCTTTGAAATGTCAAAATGAAAAATATCATATAATAGTCTTTGACGCGAATGACAATGGGGATCTCAAACCTGAAAAGTTAAAGAAAAGGGGGAAACGAAAGAGGTCAAAGGATAACGTGGAGCTTGATGAAGCTTCCCGCTTGCAAAGGAGGACAAGGTACCTGCTGATAAAAATGAAGCTGGAGCAGAACCTTATTGATGCTTACTCCATGGAAGGTTGGAAAGGTCAGAGGTATGAAAATTTTTTCATTTGGTTTTTATTTTTACTTGACTGGTACAATATGACATGTCTTGAACAATATATTATAGATAGTGTCTAATGAAATAAATCTTAGGCAGCAATAATTGAGAAACTATAATTGATGGGACTTTGATTTCTATATTTACCATTTTGAAAGAGTCTTAATAATTGAGAAACTATCTAAATTCAAGAATAGAAAAAGCAACTGCATTTCAATTATAATTGTCATCTTTCAAGTAAGAATATGATGCCAAATTACCAATGGGCATACAAATAAACAATTATCAATAAAAAATTAAGAATTATTTACAAGAAAAAGGATTAAAAAGCCATAAACTCTAAGTCTGGTATATACATACACACTTAGATAGTTATAAACTCAAAAAAACCTTACCACTGTCAACTATTATGCAATTGCAATCTAATTGCCCAAGAAACACCAATAACAATCAATTTTTGAAGGTCTCGGGTTTCAAAGAATGAAGCCATCATGAAATGGCATAAAAACAAAAACCAATTAAATAGAGAATAGAATTAAATACTAATAGATTTCCCCATCAATCAAGTAGAAACACAATATATCAAAGCCACACCAAATATCAAATTTAACATCCAAATAATAGAAAAATTAATTAGCATAATATGCCCAAAGGTGGTTGGTGGCAGAATGTGGTGGGTGGAGGAGTTAGGGTGTGGGGTGGATGAAGGAAATGAAGCTGTGGTGACAGATTTTGTAGTGGGTTGATAGCGAAGGTGTGTCTGTATGTGAAAAATATGGTGTGTGTGAAGAATCTTTGGGGTATTTGGTCGAACAGCTTATAGGCGCTCATTGATAATGCCCATCTGAGAGAGAGAGAGAGAAAGAGAGAAGGGGGGGGGAATCTATGGGTGTGTGATAGTGCTGCGTGAGTGTCCTTATGTGTGTGCATGTGATGAGGTGTAGATCCTTTGGGGATGATGTGGACTAGGATTATGGGGTGGGGTTGTGGTGGTGGTGAAGGAGGAGATCTGACGGAGAGAGTGGGAGATAAAAGAGAGGAGCAAAGATGGGAAAATAGAGGGATATATACTTGGCTGTGGCGCTTTGTTGTGGTGTTTGGGGGAGAGGGTTTGTGTGTGTTTCTGGGGCGATTAGGGGTGAGGGTTTTTGTGTGTTCTGGATAGTTTGGGGGTGAAGGGGAGAAATTGTGCGTCTGTGTGTTGGAGAAGGGGACAGATAGAGGGGAAGGGATAGAAGCAAATGCCTTGGTTGTGCTGATGCAGTGGAGCTGTTGTGGTGAGTCTTTTGGTACCGTGTATGTGGCTATGGAGATGTGCCAAGAGAGAGAGAGAGAAGAAGAAGAAGAAGAGGAAGAGAAGCTAGAGAAGGGGGAGGAGAAAAGTGGCATTGAACAGAGGGAGGGAGAGAGACGGAGAGGATAGAGAAGGGGGAGGGGAGGGGAAGGGAGTGGCATCCTGCTTATTAGTGATTGAGTGACGGGTTAGAGATTGTGAGGGAATGGGTGAGAGAGAAGAGCGGGTGATGTGATGGATTTGAGGGAGAAAATATGAAGGGGATAAACTTTCAAACTGCTAGCTGATTTATTATATGGATCTTCAAAATTTTCATAGAATAATGGATATCAGAAATTAGTTTGGTGGTGATATATAAAGCCTCAAAAAGCATATGTTGAACAGGGGATGACTAACATATTATATATGGGGTAGATAGATGCAAGATAGAATATACTACTCAAAGTAATAAAAGGAAAAAATTACCGGGTGAACTTGTTCTCATTTGATTGTCAATTACACTGCTGTAGCAGATGGCTAAACTTCTTTTGATTTGAATAGCGAAAAAGTGACCTACAGACTACTAAACAGAAAGTGTCATCAAATTATTAGGGCTGTAATAACATATAGCTGGTGATGTATGAAGACTCAAAAAGGATGTGTTTAACAGGAGATAATTAAAATTTTATATATCTGATGAACGAATGTCTCAATCTCATGATCCTGGAACGGAAGGGAAGGAAATACTAGCAGGGTAGGCCAGATGTCAAGTATAGTGGACATGGAGACTTTTCGTTTCCTTATAGCTTACAATTTGAACTTTTATTTATTTGTTCTTGATACTAAATATGGGTTCTGCAACGATAAATACTTTGGGGTTCCTTTCTAATTTTTTTCTTTTTGTGTGGATGCCACAAATCAAAACAAGTATAAAAAGACTAAGAGTTAAAGATAATATATGAAGCATAAAATAAATTCTAAAATTAGAGTGTTGTTGAGAGAACTTGTATAGTTTTTCCATCATTATTGTAGTTATATTGGTTTTCCTTATAAAGGCTTTTCTTTGTCAAAATTTTTGCCTGTTCGTACGTAAACTGTTGGCATATATCAACATTCCCTGCTAATTTATTCCACAGCCGTGAAAAAATCAAGCCAGAAAATGAACTGAAAAGAGCCAAGAAGCAGATATTGAAATGTAAACTTGGGATTCGTGATGCCATCCGCCAGCTGGATTTGCTTGGGTCTGTTGGACAGATTGATGACTCTGCAATTGCCCCTGATGGATCTGTATATCATGAACATGTAAGTGTGCAACACTAGTTAGTTCATTCTTGGGTTAATCTATTGAACAAAAGCATCTACTGTTAGGCCGTTACAAAAGGATTAATTGACAGGGTGTCTGGAATTGCAAAAATTGGTTCCAAGTTCCAACTGTTCGGAGGTTGGGTTGTGCAGATTGGCCTTAAATGTTCTGAGAAGCCTGCATGGCACATGACTGGCAATTAACTATTTCAAAATAACTCATTTCTGTTTCCTTTCCTATTACACTATTTGATGAGATTTCTGAGTGCCAAATAACAATTTTTTTGTTATTCTATGCTAGCTGAATAAAAAATACAATTGATTTGTGCCTCTTAAGGACTCTCACTACCACAATGGTTTGTTTTTATTTCACAGTCTGGACTTATCCATTTATGATTTTTATGTCTTCTGTCCAGATATTCTGTGCAAAATGCAAGTTACGTGAAGCTTCCCCTGATAATGATATCATACTTTGTGATGGAACATGCAATTGTGCTTTTCACCAAAAGTGTCTCGATCCTCCATTGTCAACTGAAAATAGTAAGTTCCTCATCCCATTACTTTTCCTGTTGGAGACCCTGTGAGTGGGCGGGGGTGGGTGGGTGAGTTGGGGGTGTCTTATTGTAAGCATGATTTTGTAAGATGGTTGCTTATTGTTCATCTTGAACCTTACTTCTAGTGTAATTCATAATTATCCAGTTCCTCCAGGAGACCAAGGCTGGTTATGCAAATTTTGTGATTGTAAGATAGAAATATTAGAAGCAATGAATGCTCATATTGGGACACACTTCTCGTCAGATAGCAATTGGCAGGTTTATCACATTAGCAACTCATTATCCTCCCTCTTTACATGGTTTTGCTGATTCATTTCTTTTTAAAAAAGGCTTATTTCTATGTAATCAAACAGGATATCTTCAAGGAAGAAGCTGCTTTACCTGATGGTGGGGATACTTTGTTGTCTCCAGTGCAAGAATGGCCGTCTGATGATTCTGCAGATGATGACTACGATCCTGAAAATTTTGAGAATAGCTCCAGTTACAACAGAGTTGACTCTGAAGATGATGCTTCTGATGATGCAGGCAGCTCAAGTGGTATCTGGTCACTCAAGGGTGAAGTATTTTCTGGCTCTGAAAGGTTAGACAAGAGGAGCAAGGGCCCCAAAAATCCCTCAGCTGAGTTAATTGGTGGAGCAGATTCTGATGAGACCACGGCTTGTGAAATATTATGTGGCCGAAGGCAACGACTAGCAGTTGACTATAAGAAATTATATGACGTGAGTACTGTAGAGGTTGCGGCCTTAAGATTCAAAACTCAAAATTAATCATAGGTCATTATGAGAGTGCTTTATTGCTACTTTCCTCTGGTATTTGATCCTACTAATAATGAATGGCATCAAACTCATACACCATAACTATTATTTTTGTCAGGGCAAATAATGGAAGGTGAAATCATATTTGAACTTCTTATAGACCCTTTGGTTTAACAATTAATTAGATAGCAGTTTTCTTTCTTCTTAGTATAATTAATGATATGTGGCTAGCTACATTGTAATCCTACAATGCACTTGTATACTGAGTTGGAAATAAATTATTTTGTGGTATAAGCACTAAAAAGTTCATTCTTTTTTATTATTTTTTTTGTGCTTTTTAGTTTTGGAACTATTTCTTTTGAGAGGAAATTCATATTTTTACTTCATAATCTCATATGATTTATTTATTCTTTTCACAGGAAATGTTTGGAAAGGATGCTCCTGCCAATGAACAAATTAGTGAAGATGAAGATTGGGGTCCTACTAAAAGAAAGCGGAGAGAAAAGGAGTCTGATGCGGCAAGCACCCTTATGACTCTCTGTGAAAATGACGAAAAATGCCATGTGAAAAACAGAGAATCAGAAAAGATACCTTCAAGCAAAGAAACCAAAAGGCCGTGTTTCAGAATTCCCCCAAGTGCTGTTGAGGTAGTTTGGAGAAGAACCTCTTTTGAGATTGTTATATTAAAAAGTTCTTAGTTAATTTCTGTGCTTACTCTTTGGTATCTTGTGTAATTTACAGAAGCTTCGTCTTGCATTTGCTGATAATGAACTTCCCTCTAGAGCTGTCAAGGAGAACCTTTCCAAACAATTAGGTCTTGAATCTGGGAAGGTAATACAATCAAACTGAAAAAGGGTAGAAAAATACAGGAAAAAAAGAAGGGAAGGAGAAAAGACATCGACAATAACATTAAAGCTTGTACTTCCTTCAAATTAGCAACATAAGATTGTTGTCGAGGAAACAGACTTTTATTTTTGGACATGTGCAAAAGTTGTTCTTACCAAAAAAGGCTTGCCCCATGCTGTTTCAGTAATAGCCTTTGTTTCACTCTGTAGCACACCAACGTTAGCTTCAGAAAAATGATAATGGAGCATTGGTAGAATTGATTTGATGGAAGATAGGGCTATGTATGAGGCATTCAGGTTTGTTGGGACATGGGATCCAGCTTCTGGTAGTGCACTGGAGGATGAACAAGGAAAAAAGTGCAGATCCACAATGGATGTCACCAAAATTATTATTTCATAGTTTATTGCAGACATATCTCCTGTACCTGCTTATATTATGCTTGCATTTCCTTTTTTTCAGGTTAGCAAATGGTTCAAGAATGCGCGCTACCTAGCACTCAGAGCCAGAAAGGTAACGTGGTGGTCGACAGATTTTCCGAAGTGCATATTTTTGGATTCGTTACTAGAATTGTGGTTCAGCCAAATAAACAGATAAGAAAAACAGATGATAGGCTAGCAGGGAATCCAGGAAAAGCAGGTTAAATCACCAAAAATCAAGCAGCAAAAGCATAAAAACAATGAAAGATTACCTAAACATAATAAATTAATCACAAACTAATATTTGGTCTTATTCTGTCTTTGAATTCCAGTCCTGCACTTGTATGCTTTCAAAATCTTCTGGGCTGCATTAATCTGTCCCAATTGTTTTCCACACTTCTCCTATTTAGCATCTTGGTCTCTCAGTTGGTTTAATGTTTCTGATAAATGTTCATTTAAGATGTAAAAAAGGATGGGATGCATATGAAGTTAATTATGAACAACATTGCACCTATCTAGCACCGAACCAGACGGGGCCCCCGGACCGATTGCCCAATTTGGTCCTCATTAATCGAAGGTGTTGAGAGGGTTGATGGGGTACTGGCATACTCTTCGGTACTATTTGCAATTTTGCATGAAGTTAACTGTCCTCTAATTTTACCCACAACTCATGATTGCAAGCTACTTGGCCTATATTATTTACAAACTATCGCTGCTTTATTTTTTCTGGTGTTATGGAATTCTGAAATGCAACATATGGATTAAAACTTAGTTACTTATGAGTTCTTTACATCTAGGTAGCTTATATTACAGCAGCATCTATCTACTTGAATGTTCCGGGAGGTTCTTCAAAACTAGAGGCAGACGTTCAACTAGTTACTGCTTTTTACTAGGATAGTCTACTCAAACTTGAGTTTTATTGTAATTGTGTCTCTCGGAAATTGGCAGGCAGGGAAAGCAATACCATTTCATACTATTGATTCCAAAATGTTAAAGAATTCCAGGTCAGAAATTGGAAAGGATAAACCTGCTGATCGAAGGGCATTTAACGTTATGTCATTAGCAAATGTGGTTGGGACACATACAAGTTTGAAAAAGTTCCGAAGGAGAAAGAACCCATCATTACTAGCCATCCCTTTGAAGAGAAAGCAATACAAGAAAGTTTTATTCCAGTCCTCAGCCAATAACAAGGTATTATTTAATTCTGGTTTTGATTTGTTCTTAATTTTGTTCAGACCACCCAATGACCAACAGGATTGAGTTTGTTAAATTGTTTGTGCAGCCAAGTGCGACTCCTGTTCAGCTATATATATTGTCTGCTGCCTAACCTTTAGGTAGCCTATACTAGAAGTCAGTAATGAGTTTGGATTATTATTGCTGCTAAGTTTAAATCCTGTTGAGATATATACTATCTGCTGTCTAACCATAAGGTAGGCTCTATAAAAAATCAGTAATGATCTGTCATAATGGACTTGTCTAAGCAATTCTATGAATTTCAAGATCATTCCAATCGTGGGTCAACCCAACTTTAGACAGACTGCTAGTTTGATTTGATTGGGCTTTCCTGTTTGTCGGTGTCAAGATGTCAAAGTTGGACCAGGTTGGATCAAGGTTGAGAGGTTGGTTTCACCAAAATAAAAGGATTTTTGAAATCATTTACTCGAATAAATATGTTTGTAGCAGTAGTTGTCTGCACTCTGCAATATGTTTCCATACTCTTCTTTTCATTTTGGAATTTTTTTATATTCAGGCTGCTGTGGGTTTTGACGATGATGTGACATTGAAACTTATAAGAGAAAAGGCTAAGAGACAGAAAAAGAGGGTAATTAACTTCACGACCAAAGGCGGTGTACAAGAAGCAGAGGCTGAAATGGAGAGGATCTGCAAAATCAAGGGCAAGGTAGAAAAACTCCAGCGGGTTTTACTGGGACTTGCAAATGACAAATCTAATAAAGGAGATGCACCCACATTGACTGAAATTTCCGTTGTGTATGTCCCCGTTGCTGGTGTAAGGGAGAAAAGATGATTTTGAGTAATCTATTTGCTGCATCACCTTATGATTCTGTTTTGCTACAGCCGGACTTTTTATGTTTTCTCTGTCAGTATCTTTTGGTGTACATATATACGGAAGTTGATTTTGTGCAAATACTTAATATTGAAAATGCCTTGCACTTGTCTGAAATTATAATAGAAAATCAATACATGGTATGTAAACCATATTGTAGAAGTTTGGATGGGTGTTCCAATAGCTTTCAAGTTTCAGCAAGCATGCCTATATTTCTGTGGATTTATAACACTTCTAAAATTCTCAAATCTACTATATCTTTTCCCCTTTTTGCAGTTCTTGAATGAAGTTAAAAAAAAAACCTGTAAACTGGGTCAGGTTGATTTGATTCTTGACCAAGGTTATCTACTTGGCTATAAAATAGGTTTGCCATCTATCTGGCTAAATTAAAAAACTCTAGCAGATGAGGTTTCACTTTGCCACGTTTTTCTTCTTAATGAAAATGCATGGAGGATTTTGTATTTTTAGATCAATTATTCACAAGGACACTTGAAATTAATTTTTTTATTGAACATTAATTAAAAAATGTTTAAATGAGCGAATTTGACCAAGGTTTGGTAGGCGCTCAACAAGCTGGAGCCATCAAATATATGTTTATGCAATTACAAAAAATGTGTTTAGCAGTGTGAAATTCATATTGGAGAAAAATTGAATATTTTAGTGTCCAATTTATGGAAGGGTTGAGCTATTTCTACCCTACAAATATTCATTCTCACTCCATTTATATCTTTATTATCAAACTGTTAAACTCACCCAATCTAGACCTACCCTATTAGTAATAAGTCTATCTCAAGCTATACACATCCCTCTAATTTTTAAGTCATTATATATTCTACGGTCTCTTTTTCTCATCTCATAGACCCTATACAAAAAAACGCGTTTTCAATATGAATTTCTATAGTGAGATACATATTAGTATTTTTTTGGCATATTTTAGATTGCAAGCATGCCAAAGTCCTAGAGGACTTAGTTTTCAAATACTTATGACCTTACCTATTTGAACTGGCATGAGATTCTAAAATCGTGATTGTTCAGGTGATTAAAACAAAGCGTAAGACTTCTTCTAGATTGTTTTCATTTCCTTGAAGATCAATGACTTAAACAATTTCCTTAGTAGCGAGTCAATGAATTCAAAGTTTGAAATAACTTGGAAAAAATAGAGTAATGTAAGTGACATAAAAGAATTTCTCGATGAACTACTATACTTGACATTAAACAGAAAAGCGATCATTGGAGTGATGATTACAATGTAAAAGAAGTAAAACTAAGCTTAAACAGTGCAGATGAAGGCTCTGGTATATTGTGTGTGGTTGAGAGACCCCTTCTTTGTATCCTAGGCAGGTGGTGACTATTAACCATTAGAGCCATCATTTTCGATCATGAGGGAAGTAATCTATCGTGAATCAAACCATTTGTAACCATTGGCTCATAATGTCACGTATCTTCATTATTCGAGATTCATGAAGACCATTTTTATCTTATCTATCTTATCTCCCTTGAATTTTTGTTGACTTGATCCTGGTTGTTGGACCTTGCTACGTGTCACCTCTAAATCTTTTATTATTTGGGTGTAAACTATAAAACCAGAGAAAAATTAAAATTTTATTAAAAATGACAAAATGGTAATTAGATGTTAAGGTGCGGCTTGAAAACTCGAATTTGTCTATAACTCAAATGATATAACGGACCTCACCGTTAGATTCGTATCGTGAAATCTAGTTACCTAGTCAATTTTCGTTGAATTCTGAGACAGTTAGATTTTTTGTATTTTATGAGGCGATAGGGTGTCGCGCATGTAAAATAAAGGCAATTAGATTTTATTCGTGAAACCCAAAAAATAATAAAGTTAGTTCAATAAAAATGTACGAAACTTAATACGAGATGAAATTTAATTGATTTGGGATAAAATTGGACAAAACGAAGTGAAAGGTGGCGTAATGAGGGCCAAGTGTTTGAGGAGTATAAAAGGGGAAGAAAATTAGATTTTCTTCCCCATTGTTTAGCCAAACACTTTCGGAAAAGAGAGAGAGAAGAGAAAAATCTCAAAGTTCTCCAAGCTTCCTCTTTTGATCTACGAAGATCTAACAATTGAATTACTTCGGGCCAAGAATTAAAGTCATTCTATGTGACGAGGCCTATAAAATCATATCAAAGATCGTGACTTTCGCCAAAATCTCAAAGACGGAAGTTTCGGGATAAAGCTTTGGAAGCTTGATTTAGGGTCTTTGGGGCTTCTTCTATGCAAATATACGTTACAAGAGGTAGGGTTCCTTTCCTAACTAGGTTTATTTCCAGCCTAGGATTGAAATATAAAATGGGTAGGGTGTTAGAGATAAATTCTCATGTATAACACATACCTAGGGTTGTTAGAATATGAAAAATGGGTATAAGAATATGTTAACACCAATTCTTGTATGATTTGGGTTTGATGAAATTGTTTGGTTTTGAATTTCATGAAGAATATGATGTTTTGGGCATGCTATGTGTTTACATATTTTTGCCTTTTAATTATTTAATGAAATGCTTATGAATTCAAGTATCTTAGTTTGATTGATATCACATGTAACATGTTTGGGATTGCTTGTGGAAAATGATATGTTCATTATATGCTTAAGATATGATGAGCATATAACATAAATTACAATTATATAAATTGATTGCATGATGATATGAAATATAATCGTACATTACATTTGTATATGCATGGGTAGCATCACATTCGTGGGTATTTGACATGATTGTGGGTATGTGCATATTTTTTTTTATCAAACACTATCCTTGGTAGGTTGATACGTGAGTTTGAAAAAGTTGGATATAGGTTCGACTGAGTCACACGGGTTGTATTGAAAACAAGTGTCGGGGTTAGCAAGAAAGACTAGATTCTCTCTCGGGTGCAAGACCCGACAATTTTGGATATGAATTCCTGTTGGTATTGAGTCTATAAAGTGTGTTGGTGTATACGAAACCATCGGTGGAAGCCCATAGATGTCGTATCGATTATGTGACTATTAGTGGAAGTCCATAAATACCTACCCCAAGAAAGACAGTAGGTTTTTTTTTTAAAATAGTCATTGGATGTCTAACATCAATGGCGGGGGTTTAGAATGCCCAGATGCATATGCATGACATGAAATGTGTTATGGGAGCCGGTGGAGGGCAAGGGTTTGCATTGCATGTGTGAGTTCCATCTCATGACATGACATTAAAATTGTAGCATTCACTTATGACATGTATGCATTTGAATGGATGCTTGAGGTGGTGAATTGCATGTGACATTTCATATGCATATGGGTTGGAGAGTAGTCTCCTTAGGAAATATCCTATTGAGCGTGACTCATCTTTTATGGGGATACATTTCAGGTATTGGACAAGCTTCAGGGGACAACCCTCATTTGGGCCCATGTTGAAGAAAAAGCCAGTTTGTGGCTCTTGAATTACATGTTGTAATCTCTTGCATAATATGTTTTTGGCTTTGTATAAATTTTGTACAAAACTTGTACTTGTTGACAAAGACATGTAATGAGACATTATTCTTTTGTAAAACAAATGAATGGAATGGGTGTTGTATGAGTTATTGGGTTAAAAGTTAGATTTTTGGGAGTTTGGAAAAAATCTGGGCTCTAGGTATCGGTACCTCACAGATATCTGGTATCCAGAGAGCTCAGGTACTAGCACCTAGGCTCATAGGTACCAGTATCCCACTGACAGTGGGCTTAGGTACCGGTACCTAGGCTCACATGTATAGGTACCTCGCTGTTGGGGGCCCAAGTACCGGTACCACGTCTTACAGGTACCGGTACTGGTACCTATCAACCAGAGGGCACAAGTACCGATTCCACTTATCACAGGTACTGGTACCTCTTCCCCAAAACTAAAAATTGAATTGTAACATGGTTGAGCCTTCACTTCTTGGGATCTTTCCCTTGGTTGATGTAAATAGAAAAATATTAAGTCCTAAACTTTGGGGTTTGGACCTTGGAATGATCATATGAATAATATGTGAACATGTTGTGTTGGATACTACTCCAGTGCAAAGGAGACTCTGCTCAGATTTCATTTTGTTACGATCCTGGTGAATGGGATGTAACGACGTGATATCGAGTTATATGATATCTATGGGTAGTCTGTGCGTTAATAGGTGATCAATGGATTGAGAAAGGGCCCTCAGATTTTGGGGCATCCCATAAACATTGCCCCCCCCCCCCCAAAGACAACTCGATGATGTGTTTCTCCTTTGGAGTGTCGTTGTTGTTCTTTGAATTTGAACCGTTGCAACCTTAATCTATCTACTTTCTTGACATCTTGGGATTGTCCACTATGTTTAATGACCACAACTTAGTTTCTACAAGTAGACTCTCAGCCTTCTTCCATATTTTCAAATCTGTAGGAAGTGGCTATCACGCGATCCGTTTATATCTTTTCATCATTATGATGATTCATTGACTATGCCTATATAAACTCTTCCTTCCAACTTGATTATTGTCATCATTCAACTCTATAACCTTTCTTCTTATTACAATGGTGAACCCTCGCACCACCACTCTTCAAGAAGCACTTGTAGAGGTTCTTTCTCGTAAAATCGACTATCATACCTTTATACCTGAATCCAACACTTCTTCATTGGTAATGGGCCTTGGTCTTGCTTTTTCTGCTTATCCTGTGGCCAACTTTATCATGTATCTCATGAACCTCTTATGTTCAGAGAATGTTTTTAATGGTCCAACTGGAGTTCTAGAACCCCTGTTCGTTCATGGAAGGCTCTTTCTCCATAATAGGTTTCATGAGTTGCACGTGTTAAAGTGGCCAAAGGCCATTTGTGGCAACATTTGGGTATTTACGATGTCCTAAACGCTAGTACCATCAACATGCCCATAGATAGACCCTTGCTTTGTTTGGCTCTCCTATTTTGGTCCACATTGAATAACGCCTTCCATTTTCGCTATAGCCAGATGGGTCCAACGATTTATGATATCTATGCCCTTCTCGGCCTTCCTCACTTTTGTTTTATACATACAAGGTTTTCCATTCACCAAGAACAAACCTATCCTGGCCTATTAGAAGTCGCAGACACTAAGCACATTTCTTTTTTTCTTTACTAGCTCAATCACTTCTTCTTTTACGCCTTTTCTTGCAAAATCACTAAGGGGTACGTCTTGTTGGACGTTAACCTAGCCATAAGAGCTTCTTATGCCTTGACCCTTGTTATGCTAGGCCATCTTTATTGTGTGAAGTCTATGACAATTGACACCAACATACTCAAGGGTGGTGGACCCCTTTGGGTTCTTCAGTTGTGGCTTTGTGCCTACTTTCAAGAGCTTTTTATGGCTTCCTCTAGTGATCCTGACATAGCTTATGGCCATCTTTTCTTTGCTGCCACGTGTAAGGAACAATTCTTTGCTGAGTGATTTGACTTCTTTTATCAACAAACCAATTCACGGTTTGTCAAGATGCCATTTGCTCAGAATTGTGGTTCGAAATGGCTTATCTATCACCCTAGGGAGGCCCCTTTTGATCAATCTACTTAGCATGCGGATGACTGGTTCTCCTACCTCTTTCCCAGAGGCTTGCATTATGGTCTTGGGCCTTATCTAGTCCCAATGCTCTTAGTGGCGTGGAGGTTTAGATGCCATAACAGTTTGTGTGCCAATTTGGCTTGGTTTAGCACATTTTTACCCTTTTGCCACCACCTTTAATACTGATCTTACCTATTGGCCTACTCTAATCGATTCTTCCATGATTCAGGAAATCTCTCGAAGCTACTCTACAAGTCGTTGATCCTTCCACATGGTCCCCTTCAAGGCCATGCCTAATATCACTAACCTATTCAAAACAGGGCGGCACCTAACATGTTTCCAAGTAGTTTGGAAATGACTTGCCTACTATGCTCCATAGTGAATTTTCCAGCCCATCTTCCTCCTTCTTTGAAGGTTAGTTCTCCACACAACTCTCCTTTTCCCTTGGCTCGTCAGTCCAACTCTAGAGCGAATCCTCTGGTGGAAGTTCAGCTTTCATCTTGTACTAGCTCACTTTGTTTTCATGAGTCAAGGTCTAGAGAAAAATTTGGAAGGTCGACCATCATCATGATTGACCCGAACGTGGCAACCCAACATGCAAGTGACCAAGTAGTTGATGGTTCTTCTCTTGTTAACCACGTTTTTCAGTGCAATGGGATCTCATCTTCCACTTCCATTCCTATTCCTGTAGACACTTTGTAAGATAGCATCTTTGATGGTCTTGAGCCCTTGGGGCTGACCTTTGAGTCTATTTCAATTGTTTTTGCTATGGCTGCTGCATCTGTGGCTCCATTGATGAGCTCGTAATATTGCATATCTAATGGCCCCATTATATGAATTTTGACTCAACTTTGCATTTAATTACTTAGAGTTAGTCGAATTTGTGAATAATATAAAAATTTTGATGTTGTAGGTAATCATAGGATAAATGATAGCTTTCGGAACCCTACAACTAAGTGTGGATGAGTGGTGAAGAGATGGACATATTACATGAGGATTTGGAGGGTTAAAGGGAATGAAATCAAGGAGGTATCAGTACCTGGTATCATAGGTAACGACACCCACACCATTTGGTATTGGTACCTAAGTATTCTCCATTTTTGACCATGATCCACTACAAATCTAAAAAGTTTAAAACATGAAAGTTGTAGATCTGGATGTCCTTTGTCTTGTGTCAAAATTTCAGGTTAATCGGACGGTGGGATCAAAAGTTATGACAAATTTATAAAAGCTGAAAAAGAACTACCGATAGAAGACATGCAAGACCTATCGGTAGAAGGAATGCAAAACCTACCAGTAGAAAAGCTTACTGGAAAAAAAGCTACTGGTAGGTTTTATACGTTCTACTAGTAGAACATGCCCAAATATGCTAGACACTTCTTCACACGACTCCATCTACTGATTAGTAGTTAAAATTAGCATCTTACTGTGCTTTTATAAGACTAATTATGCTTTGATAGAGTTTCAATGATGACATTTCAGGAAAAAGATTGTACAAAGGCCTAAAGTTAATAAACATCAAACTTTCATGCAACACCCACATGTTCCGGAAGAAAATTGGAGAAGTTTGAAACAAGGCATCAATGTTCGAATGCCAATCCATGTTCGAACGCCATCCTGAATTATTAAGGGCCCCTGAAAGAGTGCTAGGGTGATGGCTTATGGCATGTTGTAGTTATTTTCACAGATGAAAAAGAGCTACTTGAGTACAATGTTCGAACGCCAAACAACGTTTGAATGCCCTCTTGAATTTTTTGAGGACCTCCAGAGGACTACTAGGGTGATGAGACATGGGTTGTTTAACTCCTATCTACTGTAGGTGACAAGAGCTACTTAAGTACCATGTTCAAACTCCAGTTGGTGTTTGAACGTCCATTACATAAGACAGGAATCAATGTTCGAACGCCATTAAATGTTTGAACGTGCTCCCTAGATAGAATGCAGAGTGGTTGATTTTTTATCTGAATCTTGGGGCATTCACTTGGACTTTGAGGACTTTGAACTGTTCTTTTACTCTACTTTACCCCCTCCTCCTTGCCTATAAATACCTCCATTGTTGGAGCTTCTATAAGACTTGCACTTAGATATAGATAAACATACATAGAGAGAGATAGATCATCTTTTTGTTAAGGAGGAAAACCTCCAAAAGTGACTAGCTTTCTGCTTTCATTAGCTTTCATTGTTTGAGCTTCTCTCTTCCCTTATATGAGTGAAACTCTTCCACTTTTCTAGCTTGCTCAAAGCCTTGAAGGGTGAAAAATGATTCACTCATTCTTCATAAAAGATAGGTTCATTGAGTAGTGAAAGGTGGAAAGTGATTCATTCATTCTTCGTCGGAGATAGGCTCATGGTATAGTATATTGTACCTTGTAACTCCTCTACTTGGAGGGATGAGAATCACTCACTTTTCTAGCTTTCTCAAAGCCATAAAGAGTGAGTAGTTTCTCATTCACTCTTTAGTAAGAGGTGATGGGCATGTATAAATCATTTGGAAGTAATATTTGTGCATTTCATTTATGCTTAATCTTTCACTTGCTTATTGAATGATTGAATACACCTAGCAAAGCCAGGTACTTTGTACAACCATGAGTCCTTTCTATGACATAAATGACTCTTGGCATAGGAAGACTCACTGGTTTTTTGCAAGTATTCCAGTTAGATCTTTATGACTAGATTTCAATCTTTACCATTATTGTACTTCAACTAAGAATGGAATACTAACACAATGGTTGGATGACTTGTAGAACTACTTGCTTGTTTGTAGATTGATGAGCACATAATATTGCATATTTAACGGTCTCATTACATGCATTTTAACTCAACTTTGCATTTAATTAGTTAGAGTCAGTAGAAGTTGTGAATAATGTGAAAATTTTGATGTTGTAGGTACTTATAGCGTAAATAATAGATTTCAAAACCCTGCAGCTAAGTGTGAATGAGTGGTGAAGAGTGATAACTAATTAAATATAGCATATTATTATGCCTTTTTTGGACTAATTATACTTTGATGGAGTTTAAATGATGACATTTCAGGTTCTAAAGTGTAAAATGGTGCAAGGGCAACAAAAATCACACTTGAATGTAACACCAGCGCATTAGGGAACAAAATTGGAGAAGCTTGGAACAAAGCAGGAATGGTCGAACACCAACTCACGTTCGAACGCCCACTGGAACAAAGACAAGACTAGACTGTGAAGACATGGTGTGTTGTAGCCAAGAACCAAGGTCCTGAGGAACTTGAGTACCACGTCGAATGCCAACTCACGTCCAAATGTTCACTGGAACAAAGACAAGACCAGACTGTGAAGACATGGCGTGTTGCAGCAAAGAAGGAAGTGCACTTGAGTACCACGTTTGAACACCAATCACGTTCGAACGTCCACTGAAGACCTGGGTAATGAATGAAAAATGCCAAGTCCTGTATGAAGTATGAAAGTGGGTTTCCTAAGAGGACCACAAACAACTTGAGTGATATGGTCAAACCCCATCTGGCGTTCGAACGCCCATAAAGCAAAAGCAGAAGACACATTTAAATGATAGACACTGTTCGAACGTCCATACTGCAAAAATATGGAGAACGTTCGAACGTCAACTCACGTTCGAACATTCTCCACAGACTGCTTGCAGAGTAGTTAGTCTTTCACTTGGACTTGGGCGGCATCCACTATTCATTCATCCTCTTCTATCTCCCCCCTCCCCTTCCTTGCCTATAAATACCCCCATTAAGGGAGCTTCAAGGGTGCAATTTTTCTCTTGTAAAATAGGAGGCTAGAGCTTGGTTTGTAGGCTTAGACTACACCAAGAACTAGTAAGGAGCTTGTATGGAGGCTTTGACTCCCACTCATTTTGATTAATCATAGATGTTTGTTATATTTGCTTGTCTTACATCTTTTGGTTGAGGAAGTAACCCTCCATTTGTTGGTTGAGGAAGCAACCCTCCATCTTTTGGTTGAGGAAACCACCCTCCAAGAGTAACTAGCTTTCTTCTACTTTTATTGTTTATGTATTTTACTTCCATTGCTTGAGCATCCTTCTTTCTTAGAAGAGTGAAACTCTTCCACTTTTTTAGAGCTTTACCAAAGCCGTAAAGGGTAGAACGTGATTCACTTATTCTTCATTGAAGATAAGCTCTTTGTTTAGTTTGTTTTACTTAGTAGCTCCTCTACTTGGAGGGATGAGTATCATTCACTCTTCTAGCTTTACCAAAGCCATGAAGAGTGAGTAGTTTCCCATTTACTCTTTAGTAAGAGGTGATGAATATGTAAAGATTACCTGAAAGTTATGTTTGTGCAATTCCTTTATGCTTTAATGCATTATATTCCACTTGCTCATTGGATGATTGAATGCATCTAGCAAAGTTAAGGTACTTTGTATAACTAAGGGCTCCTTCTATGATACGGATGACTTCTACATAGAAAGACCCGTTGGTTCAAGGCAAGCACCCTAGCTAGCTCTTCATGACAACCTTTCAATCTCCACCATTATTGTGCTTTATTCAAAGAATGGACCATTAATGTCATGGTTGGATGCCTTGTAGAAACACTTGCTTGTTTGTAGACGGGTTAAGTCTCGGCATAGACAATTCTTGTAAACTTCTAGAAAGGCATCGGAATCATGTGCTTAATTCTCACAGTCCATCTTTATCTTTCGATTAACTTGCTGTTGACACGGGAGTTAATTGAGTTATAAAGCACAAACATAATAAATCGGATAATCAGTTACATGTTTTGATCTTTGAACTAAAGAGTGGCTATTATCTTTGCTAATTTATCTTATATTTTGTCTAGAAAAAGATCCATTGGAAAGAATCTTATATTCTGTTCAAAAAACCCTACAACTTCAAACTCTCAAGACTTCCAGTTACTTGGTCTCTATCACTGCTTACTTCTAAACAATAATCATAGTTCCTTGTGGATTCAACTTCAGACTTCACCGGATTATTACTACAACTTGACCACATGCACTTGGGTGTACACATTTCGGATCAAGTCAAATTTTTGGCGCCGTTGCCAGGGAATCATAAAAGGTGTTTACAGTAAAAGATAAAAAGACCTCACTTTTTGTGTATAAATTTTTCTTTATTGTGTATAAATTATTTTAGTTAATTTTATGTCTGAGAACGCTCTTCACTATCAAAATTTGCTAGCAAAATCTTCTGGGTCTGTGAATCAACTAGACTCTTGTGAAAATAGAATGACAAATGGTGAGAGACGAGAGAAAATTCTTGTGAGAGAGGGGGAAGTGCCTAATATTCAAACTCTGAGGATTACTTAAATCCCAAAAGAAATAGTGTTCCCTCTTGTTTTATCTTTCCTGAAGATGCACCCCTCTTTATTGTAAAGACGGGGACAGTTCAACTACTCCCTCAATTCTGTGGACTCGAAACATAAAACCCATATCTGCACATAAAAGAGTTTGAGGAAGTATGTGGAACGTTTCAAGACAATTCTGAGCTAGCCAAATGAAGCTTTTTTCATTATCTCTAATTGATAGAGCTAAACAATGGCTAAATTCTTTAAAAGCTCTTTCAATACCTGACTGGCGGGCACTACAAAATGAATTTTTCAGAAAGTTTTTTCCTCTACACTACACTAATGCATTGAAAAGGCAAATCATGAATTTTTTAGTCAAAGAAGGAGAAACCTTCTATCAAAGTTGGGAGAGATTCAAGGATCTACTCCAGTCTTGCCCACACCATACTT